AGTAGGATGAAGCGTGATATTGTTAATTTTATTGCCAAATGTCCAAACTGCCAGCAAGTAAAGTATGAACACCAGAGGCCCGGAGGAACACTTCAGAGAATGCCCATTCCTGAATGGAAGTGGGAAAGGATTGCAATGGATTTCGTGGTTGGTCTTCTAAAGACAATGGGTAAGTATGACTCTATTTGGGTGATTGTTGATAGGTTAACTAAATCTGCTCATTTCATTCCGGTCAAGGTGACTTACAATGCAGAGAAGTTAGCCAAAATCTATATCTCAGAAATTGTTCGGTTGCATGGGGTTCCACTCTCCATCATATCAGATAGAGGTACGCAGTTTACTTCTATGTTTTGGAAAACATTGCATGCGGAATTGGGTACTAGGTTGTACCTTAGTACTGCATTCCATCCTCAGACCGATGGTCAGTCTGAGCGAACGATTCAAGTGTTGGAGGATATGCTTCGTGCATGTGTGATAGAATTTGGTGGTCATTGGGATAGCTTCTTACCCTTAACAGAGTTCTCCTACAACAATAGCTATCACTAAAGCATTGATATGGCCCCATTTGAGGCACTATATGGGAGAAGATGTAGGTCTCCCATTGGGTGGTTTAATGCATTCGAGGTTAGACCTTGGGGTACTGACCTTCTGAGAGAATCGTTAGATAAAGTGAAATCTATTCAAGAAAAGCTGTTAGCGGCGCAAAGTAGGCAAAAGGAATATGCCGATTGAAAGGTTAGAGACTTGGAGTTCATGGAGGGTGAACAAGTCTTACTGAAGGTTTCGCCCATGAAAGGGGTGATGCGTTTCGGTAAAAAGGGCAAATTAAGCCCAAGGTATATTGGTCCCTTTGAAGTACTTAAGCGAGTAGGGGAGGTGGCTTATGAGTTAGCCTTGCCTCCAGGGCTGTCCGGAGTGCATCCGGTATTTCATGTGTCTATGTTGAAAAGATACCATGGGGATGGAAACTACATCATTCGTTGGGATTCAGTTTTGCTTGATGAGAATTTGATTTATGAGGAGGAGCCTGTTGCCATTCTAGATAGAGAAATTCGCAAGTTGAGATCAAGGGAGATTGTATCCATCAAAGTTCAATGGAAGAATCGACCAGTCAAAGAAGCCACTTGGGAGAAAGAGGCTGATATGCGAGAAAGATACCCACACCTGTTTACAGATTCAGGTACTCCTTTTCGCCCTTGTTTTCCTTCTTGTGATCGTTCGGGGACGAACGATGGGTAAATTTTGGTATCTATTGTAACGACCTGTTTAGTCATTTTGAGCAGCAGATTTTATTTCTGGAAAAACAGGCTGAGATGACGGAAACCACGACGGACCGTCATGGGCACGACAGACCGTCGAGGAGTCTCATTTCAAAACATTTAGAAATTCTGAAAAATGGGTACTGAAATCAACTCTCTGAACTTCGTAACGGAATAACAGGACGGACCGTCACAGGCGTGACGGACCGTCACAGACTCTTCAGAGAATTGAGTCTCTGAACTCTGTGACGGAGCAGCAGGACGAACCGTCGCAGGCACGACGGCCCGTCATAGGCTGCGTAATCCCAGGCTGGGTCGGATTTCTATTAAGTAATTTAAGGGGCGTTTTGGACTATTCCTGCTTTAATTATAAAGTTAGTGGGTTAATGTTAATAAGTCTAACTACTTGGGGTTTAAAAGAGGTAACCTTAAGTTAATTAGTGGGTTATTATTGCCATCTTTTATTCTTAATTATATGCTAATTAGGGTAAAAGAAAGAGGGTTTGAATAAAGAAAATAGAAAGAACAAGAAGAGAGAGAGAGGATCGATCGAGAAGGGGAAAAACACAAAGCTTTGGGAAATTTGCTTGCTTGATCACTAATCTTCGGTGGAGGTAGGTTATGGTTTTTATACTATTCGTAGTTAACTCTTAATAGCGAATGATATGTGTTGAGTTGTATTGTAAAGTCTTCTATATGCTTAATTTTATGCTTGCATGAATGTGATTATATAATTGTGATAAAATAAGCATGATGAAGCTATTGAATCCCAAATCTTGAAAATCTCTTGTTAATGATGATGCCTTGATATAAAAGAAGGATTGATGAACTAAAGTAATGAGATTGATGATGCCTTAGTATGAAGGAAGGCTTGATGAACTGAAGTAATGAGGATTGATGATGCCTTGGTATAAAAGAAGGCTTGATGAATTAATAGAATGAGATAAGTGGAGCGGGTGTCACGAACCGACACGTAGAATTAGGGGATCGGGTGTCACGAACCGACACGTAGAATTAAGGGATCGGGTGTCACGAACCGACAAGTAGAATTAGGGGATCGGGTGTAACGAACCAACACGTAGAGTTAGGGGATCGGGTGTCACGAACCGACACGTAGAATTAGGGGATCGGGTGTCACGAACCGACATGTAGATTTAGGGGATCGGAGTGTCACATTCCGACACATAGTAGTAGGGAATCGGAGTGTCACGTACCGACACAAGAGGAATAAAGATAATGAATCTTGAAAGATGTTAATATACTCAATCTAATGAACCTAATTCTCAAATGAGTATGGTATGGAGGCTTGAGTCCTCATGTGTGAACTTGGCGGTACTTGGTAATGATTATAGTGTGCTTGTTGTTGCTACATGTTGAGTATTGTAGTTGATTTATGATATTACTTGATATATATATTGTTTTCTATTTGGAGTTGGCCGATGATACCTACTCAGTACTTGTGTTTGTACTGACCCCCTACTTTTATGTTTTCTTCTTTGTTAATTGTGGAGTGCAGCAAACGTGTCGTCGTCTTCAACTCAACCGTAATTCTAGCCAGTCTTCTATTACACCGGATTTCAGGGTGAGTTAATGCTTCTAGCTTGGACTGGGTCTTCCTCTTCATGTCTTGATGCCTTGAAGTTCCGGCATGGACTAGCTTTTACTTGTTTTAGCTTTTTAGAATACTTTAGTTTAGTAATTTGATCATAGATGTTCTTGTGGTGATGACTTCCAGATTTTGGGGATAATAATAGTTATTGATTTTATTAATGAGTTTAAGTCTTCCGCATTACTTTCTGTTGATAATATATTGAAATGTTAAGGTTTAGATTGGTTGGTTCGCTCACATAGGAGGGTAAGTGTGGGTGCCAGTCGCGACCCGATTTGGGTCGTGACAACTAATTCTTCATTTATTCCAGGCCCACTTTTATTTTCAGACGCCCCAGGCCCAATTACATGCCCATTCCAGCCTACATTATTATTCTCAGCCCATTTCAATTAATTCCCATTCTTCTTACTTTCAGTGATCCAGCCCAATTCTCTTCAAGTTTTTCTTAGAGTCAATTTCCTCTCTTTGTTATCTCATTCCAGCAGCCCAACTCCTCCCAGGCCCAATTCTTTTCCAAACAATTTCAGCAGCCCACTTCTCATTCCATTTTTCCCCTTAGTACCCAACCCGATTCCACCTTGTTCTTCTTCACGTTTAAACCCAAAAAATTGGGGAAGAAAGCCAACGTCTTCTTCCCCATAAATCAAGCAACAAATCATGGTTGACCAAACTCGAAAATCGTGCCAACAGTACCATCCCATCACCATCGTTGTAATTTCAAGCGAGAAGTGGCATCCAACAGTACCCTTTGTACGTCTTCTTCTTTTTTTCCTCAAACTCGGATGGTTCTAGCTCCAAACGGTGCTACAGTACCATCGTCATCCTTCTCATCCACTTTTCCCCTTTTGGCGGATTTTTAGAGTAAAGATACAACTCCCTTACGCCTCTTAGCTATTGCCTCGAAAAAGAGCATTTTGAAATTTGAATTCATCCTTAATCTACCGGATTTCCCCTCTAACCGGTTTTAGTTCTTTTCCTATAAACACCAGTCGTATATCACTGTCAAGGGGGGGAGATAGTTTCGAAAAAAGAAAAAAAGCTTTCGATTTTCTTAGAACAGTTCTTGAAGAGAACAATCCTAGCTTTTCTTAGTCTTAAAGATACATTTCAAGACCGAAAGTTTGGTTCCCGTAGTCTTATAGCATTTCCGGCTTATTCTCCTAACTTTGTCTGTGGCTCTTATTCCGTTTAAGCTTTCTTGGTTGCTGTTTGGTATCGACGCTTGCGTGGTGAGGATTGTCATTCCCCTGCTCATCTGCCTCTAGTTCGTTGCATGGAGAAAGGTAATGCTTCCTTTTTTTTATGTCTGACTTCAGTGTTGAATGCGAATGTGATGTTCGTTGTTGTTTCCTTTGGTTGCGTTACTGTTTTGATTACTTGTTTCGACTTATATACTCTTCTTCGAAAGGTTGCTTGGTGTGATTGATTTGCTGTTGATTATGACGGATATGCTTTAGCCTTGTTTAAGTTTCATTTGAAGTTGTTTGTAGGCAGATTTTTATGTTTTTTTAATCATATTGTGTTTCTAGTTTAGTGTAAAAATATGTGAATGTCATGATTTACTCCTATGAGTTAATATGGTTCAATGATTGTGTCTTGTATCTATTGTTGCGTTGGTTTGGACCATGGAATAGTCGTGATCAAGTCTGTTATTCTCTGTTTATTTTTGCTTTCTCTTCTCTCCCCGAAAACCTCTTGCGAATCTGTAATACGCTTTCTTTGCTATCAAGCAAATCGCATAGCCATTGTTTTGACCTTAGTTTCATGGTGTTGTTTCAGTAGCCGCTGTTTAGGCTGTATGTTCAAGTATAATGTACTTAAGCTACTGGTTGAAATTTTAGCTAGCCATTTACGTTAGCTTTTTGTTTTTTTTTTATCAATTCTTATGGCCTTAGAGAAGAAGCTAAAATGTTTTGGTTATTCGTTTGGGTGTTGTTGCATATGTCTCTTGCTGCTACTTGAGTATAGGGAGAGTTTGAGGATTTGACTGTGTTATATTCTTTGGGTACTGGATTGATTAATACTTAATAGTAATGTTTAGTTGATGACACAATTGCTTACCGTTTCCTTTTTAAAAAAATAAAAATAAAAAATCCTCACATGAAGTTCTTATTTTGCTATCTTGAAGAATTGTCCATTAAGTCTATTTTATCATTCTGCTGGAAAGTATTGCATGTTTGGGGTCATCTTTGCCATGACAGTCATGGTGTCCAAGCATATATACATGCCTTATTCAAGGATCTCTTTGTTGTGGTTTTGCAAGTGTTTGAATAACTCTTCACTTGTTCATATATGCTTTCTCTTGTTAATTCATTCAACTCTATTCACATGTCTTTTTTTTTCTTCTCTATCTAATGTTTTGCATTGGTTTTTTTTGTGTGTGAAACTCCTCTCGAGTCCGTCTTGGCACTCCATTTTCCTCCTCGCATCCTTCATTTGAGCCATGAAAGAATTATACATTTTTGTGTGAAACTCCTTTCGAGTCATAGACCCCTCATAACCAGCGTACAGGTCGGAAGAACCAGCAAATGTGTTGCTGAAAAATCAAATCTGCAGATTTGAGCAGCAGTATACATATTGTATACATTTGTTATACATTGATATACAAGTTCATGGCAGCAAATAGGGAGAAACAAATGTGAAATATAGATATGAGGTAAAATTCAGGTGTTCGGAAGCAGGAGATACACGCAGAGAGCTGATATATACGTCAATATACACCGATATACAGTCTATATATACAAAAACGAGATTGGGTTAAAACCCAAAACTTGCAGCGAAATTGGCCCAAGAAAAGGCCCAATTTCATTGTCTCTTTCACTCTCCTAATTGTTTTGATTATGTTGACTAATTTCATTTAACTCTAACTTTAGAATTGATAATGAACTTACTTAAATCCCCAAAAGATTGAATTTTTTTTTATGTTGGCTCACTATATAAACATATTTTACAATAATTTATTTTTATGAGTAAAATTGATATCTTTAGTTAAGTCAAACCTATGTTCTTAAAAGATATATATTCTTTAACGATTTTCGCTTAACCATTTTATTATTTCAAAATATTATTTTAAGTTAGGCGAATCTTTTATTCTTCCATTAATTAAAAAATGAGTTTTCATTCTTAAATTAATAAATTTGGTTTGAGTTATTATCTTTGTAAAGTGATGAAAAAATAAAAATAATTTAGTCTGGTTAAATTCTTTTTACTTATAATTAATTCATTAAAAAAAACTTTAATTAAAGGTCCATTTTGTTATAAAATAAAAATAAAAATTGATATTTGTTTAAATATTTTCTTAAAGTTGATCGAATATTGTTAATTATTATATTAAATCATGTTTTTAAGATAAAATAAATAATAATAACAAAAAAAATTAACCTAAGTCATAGGATAACCGCGTGTTAGTGGGTGCTTCAAATGTCTTACAAACCTTCTTGAAGCATAAATAAGAACCTCTTACCCGTTTTCTCTAAATTTATTAAGATTTAATCTGTTAAAATCTTTTTAAATCAAGTTTTCTTAATTTCTTTAAAAAATTAAGTGGCTACTCTTTCTAAATATTCTTCTAAATCGTTTTATACTTAGAACATTTCCAAAAGTGATTTTTCTAAGATTGGATAAATTACGGCATAACAAGGCATATACGTTGAGTTTGACTCATCCTTCATGATTTACTTCATTGAACCATTGACATGAGATTTATTCATTGCTTGATTTGGAGATTATCAGTTTGATAAAATAAATTTTTCTCAATTATGGAAAGGAAAAAATGAATTTAAAAGAAAAAATTCATGAAAAATTTCATTATTATTTCATTTTGACCTACATATCCCTATGTCTTGAAAAGGAGATCCAGAAGATCTCCACTTGCAAATCATAGCAAATCAAATGTCAGACGCATTTACTATTTTTTTTAAAAAAACTAACAAAGTCATATATTCCTGCAGTGAATGTGTCTATTCGAATTGACGTCCCGAAAAGATCAACTCTGAATTCCAAACACGCCTGAAATGTGGTAGATCGTTCGTCTCAAAAGACAAAAGCCTAAAAAAAAGCGCAAAAAATGATAAAGATAACATTATAAAAGAATCTCATGAAAAATTTCAAGATCTTATTAATCAAGATATTTCTGAAGAGATTAGTGAACCCGAGATTCAAGTGAATGAAGAACTTTCAATAAGTTCTACTGGTGATGAGATAAATTTAGATCGATCGAAAATTATATTGAATAATGTTTTCTCATATAATGTTACACTTAATCTTATGTATGACAATGAGGATGTGGATCATAAAGTTGATGTGATTGACCAAAATAGCAACAGACAATTCAATAAGAATTAGACTCACTTACTAAACGAGAGGTTTTTGGACCTGTAGTCCAAACCCCAAATGGTGTAAAATCGATTGGCTATAAATGAATTTTCGTGTGAAAGCGAAATGAGAGAAATAAATTAAAGGTACAAGGCATGCCTTGTTGCTCGGACTCTCTCAAAGACCCGAAATCGACTATGAACAAATATATTCACCTTCATATAGATGCAAATTTTTCGATACCTCATCAATTTAGTTGTACATGAAAATCTTAAAATACATCTAATGGATACGATTACAACTTATCTCCATGGTTCACTTGATAATGATATTTATATGAAAATTCCAAAAGAACTTAAAAAGTCTGAATCATATAGTATAAAATCTCAGGAAATGTTCTCAATCAGATTACAAAAATCATTGTATGGTAAGCAATCAAGATGTGTGTGGTATAATCGCCTTAATAAGTACGCCATAAAGAAACGATATATAAATAATATCACTTGTCATTGTATTTCTATTAAGAAAATGACATCAAAATTTGTTATGCTCGTAATTTATGTTGATGACATAAATCTCATTGAATTTTTGAAAAGGTTTAAAAGACAATTAAATATCTAAAGAAAGAATTTGAAATGATAGACCTTGAAAAGACAAAACTGTCTTTTTCTACAAATTGAATATTTAAAAAATAAGGTCTCCATCTATCAATATGCCTATACTGAAATTTTTTTGAAATAATTTTACATGCACAAAGCACATTTATTAAGTACTCCAATGGTTGTTCAGTCTCTTGAAGTGAGTAAAAGTCCATTTAGACCTCAAGAAGAGAATGAAGAACCTTTTGGTCCTGAAATACTATATCTTGGTGCACTTAGGTATCTTGCTAATGTTGGAAAACTATACATGCATAGCGGAAGAATATAAGGATCTTTACTGCTTACCTAAATAATAGATAACCAACATTGTTTATGCTAGAACACATAATCATGCTAGAACACATAAATATGCAGAAATTTAATTCGATAAATACCTCTTGAAGCGTGAGCGGATATCTTCAAAAGAATTCCAAAGATAGATAAAACGTTCAAGCGAATCTACAAAATAGTTATGGTCTTCTACAGTGATCTCAAGTCACATCCGAACTCTCTCAATACTTGGGTGGGCAAGTATCGAATAGAAAACTAATCATCCTCTTTCTAGGTTAGGATAATCCCTATATATAGAGATTTCTTCCTAATTCAAAAAGGACTAGAAAACCTAGTTATTCTAGAAAATTAGAAAAACCCATATTATTCTTCCTTTTTGCATAGAAATAGGATTTTGAGTTCTAGTTAAATATGGGCACTATAGGGACCACAGAATTAATTACTGAGGCTTCCTATTATGGAAATAATTCCAAATAATTAATTCGAATTATTCTTACCATAATAAATTACAAATCATTCCACTAGAAACTCGTAATTGCACTCCTCTATTTCATAATTCCCCATTAAACACTTATGTAATTCCCCATGTTAAGATTTCATATACTAATCAATAAATTAAATTACTAACGAATTTAATTTAATGGTTAATTTCCTTTAGAGCACTACTTAACTTATTTCATGTGTCGGATTCATAAATCATCTACTATATAAGTAAATAGAAACCACAAACGAATATATGATCTATTGAATTTTAGCAAATATTTAGTCTCTAATAAATATTATTTCTTAACACATGGTTAATATTATATATCCCAACAGCTAATGCTACGAGACCTAACATGACATTCTCTATTAATTTTTTAGCAAGATATAGTTCTTACATTACAAGAAGGCATTGAAATGGAGTTAAACATATATTGCGATATGTAAAGCGAACCATAAATATGGATAAGTTTTATACTAACATAGATAGTGCAGATCTTGTTGGTCATGCAGATGCATGTTATTTATCTGAATCACATAAAACTTAATTTTTAAGAGGTTATCTATTCACATACGAATATATTTCTATATCATGGCAATCTAGGAAGCATTTCATTTTTGCTACTTCTTCAAATCATGTTGAGATAATAGTTTTTCATAAATTTAGTAAAGAATGTGTATGGTTTAGATTAATAATACATTTCATCAAAGAAAAGATGTGGTTTTAAGTGTTATGCCAAAGTCCCCACAATGTTCTTTGAAGACAATGTTGCATGCAATAACTCAATTAAGAGGAGGCTTCACAAAAGTAGATAGAATGAAACACATTTCATCAAAATTATTCTTCACGGGTGATCTCCAGAATGATGATATTGATGTACAACAAATTTATTCAAGTGATAATTCAACATATTTGTTCACCAAATTTTACCAGCCTCAACTCTTGAAAGATGGTACACAAAATTGGAATGTGGAGACTTAACAAATATAATCGTGGTCTTCATCAGGGGAAGTAGAATACACAATGTAATTTTTTCCCTTAGTCTAGTTTTGTCCTATTAAATTTTCCTAGCAAGGTTTTTAATGAGGCACCAAGCAAATGCGTATTAAAAATATATATACACTTTTCCTTCGCTAAAATTTCTTTAATTAGATTTTATTAAGGCGTAGACATCCAAGGGGAGGTGTTGTGAACATGTGGATGTCCTAATATAGTATGCAGATAGTGTGTGTATTGCAATTAGAGGTGTACAAAATCGAACCGAATCGCAAATCGAAAAAAAAAATCGATTAGTGGTTTGGTTTGACTTGGTTTAGTGTTGCAAAAAGATCGACTATATTTGGGTTGATTTGGTTTCAACTAAAAAAATCGACCCGATGCCAAATCAACCCGACATTATATATATAATATTAAAATTTTTTATTTATACGTAAAAATACTTACTTTGATATAATTTTTATATATCTCTTATATTTTTTTCATAGTTTTTAATCTTTGAATATAATTATTTCATGTTTGGAAGTTAGAATTCTTAATGATCTAATAAGATTATAGTCTATACATGTTGGTAATTATAATAAAGTTAAAATAAAAATTAAATTAATACTAATGCTAAAAGAAAATTAATTCAACACTAAGAATGACAATAAATTGAATATTTCTTTTTTTTTACATAGATTTAGACAATTAAAATGCATGATCTAATTTACTTTCTTTTAATATTTAGTCATGTAACTAATACTTACTAAACTTATTTTAGCATGATTTAGTACTTTAAATTATGATCAATTTCATAATGACTTATTAATTTGCAATATTTGTTTTACGCAATTTTATTATTATTATTATATTATTTTTTTGGATATTTTAGTGTCACTAATTATATCATATTTTTTGTTATTTTCTTGAGAAATAACTTAGATAGTTGCATTTTGGTAGGACTAAAGAAATATTTGAAGTATGTTTTTATTAATACTTTATAAATCCGAAAAAATCCAAAGTTGAAAAACTCGAATTTTATTGATTTGTTTTGATTTATACATTCAAAAATCCGACACAAATGGTTTGGTTTAATATTTGAAAAATCTGAACCAACCTGGTCATGTACACCCCTAATTGCAATGTTGAAAGTATGAAATTTGTGCAAAGCTTGTGAAGAGTAATGGACAGCTTATGTAGTACATTCATTGTATCATTTACATGGATAAAACTTATCGCACCTAGTGTTTATACCAAATCAGTACATGCATAGCATGTGTTTAAATTTATTACTTCATTTAAAAGGATAACCAAGAAGCAATAGATACAATGCATTCTCTCTCTATTGTTTTTCCTTTTAGTTTTATTACGTTATTTGTTTTATGATAGAGAGTGATTTTTATAATTCATTTATTTATATAGAGTTATTATTATTATTGGTATTATTATGTAATTGTGGATGAACATAATTTCTAGGTAGTGATTTTCACTTGTATGATATAGTTATATTCGCATTTCCACTATCTATTTATTGATGTTCAACAACCCTATAGTCTTTCATGTTTATGACATTCTCTGAGTTAATGTATCTTTATAGATAGAGATGTTGAAATTTGTGTCAATTTTTGAAGAGTAAAGTTGTGATACACTTAGAAATGTATGATAAGAAAACTTTCTTTTGTTCTTTACATTTCTTGTCCACTCTTTGTTTCAAATTGCTACATGTTCACACAAATATGAAAGGAAGAAGATGAAGATGCACGTTATGCAGAGGGAAATACTACGATACACAATTATATTGTGTTTTATTAATTACACATGTTGAAATACAAGTAGCCCTAAATAAGGAGAGGTGTGCCTAGTCATAAATAGGGTTATAAATTCTCGATATGACGCTTGATAAGTTATTCAAGAGATCAATAAAATAATAACTCAAAAATATTTTAATACATACTCTTTATGAATATAACCTTCTCAAGACTCGACTAAAATTATGAAAATTTGACAAACAAGATTTACTCTAACTTATATCAAAAATCGATGAGGTATTGATGTGTCGACTTTCGACAAAAATTTGATGTTTATAATAATACATATTAAATAGTTTTAGTTTTTAAACAATAATTTAAGCTAAATTTTGATATAAGAGAGGACTGACGATAGGACAGACAAACCTTCACACCCATAGCGGACCGAACGTTAGAAGCTACCAGAAGCTATGTCAATATGAACTCATTTTGCTGGCACTAGTTACAAGTGACCAATTGCTGTTGAAAAACATCTCAATTCTCCCACACATTTCGCCATTTCTATGGTAATGAAAAACTAATAGCAAATAATCACTTAGTTCTAGCCTTATCTCATGTGGGGTTCAACCCCAACCTAGTTAAATTCTACATTAACAAAGACTGCGTTATACTTCTTTATAACGAGGTAAATTTTAGTCGTATCAAATTTTGACATCACTTAATGTGTCGATCACCACCAACACCACTACAAAGGCTAGTGGATCATCTAATGCCCCACCACGATTGCCAGATTCTAAAGCCCGTGGGGTTACATCAACAACATTAACAATATACTTGATATAGAGCCTGTTTGGCTCAGCTTAAAAGCTGGTCAAACTGACTTAAAAGCTGGTTTTTGACTTATTTAGCTGTTTGGCAATACTCAAAACAGCTTATTTTAAGTTAAAAAAAACTTATTTTAAGCCAAAAGTTAAAAGCTGAGGTAGGGGTGCTTTTTTTTTTTAGCTTATAAGCTGTTTTAAGTTGACCACATTTTTATCTTTTTGTGCTTAATATTTTTGTACAATCTCCAAATTACCCATATAACCCTAACATTTCTTTCTTCCATTTTTCTCTTTTCACGTTTGACATAACAACTTCAGCACTTTTATCCAAACGCATAACTGCTTATTTTAAAAATAAGTTTCAGCACTTTTAAAAGTACTTTTTTAAAGCTGCTTTTATTAAGCCCTTCCAAACGGGCCCATAATTCGATAAGTGGAATATGAAAATGGTAGTATACGCAGACCTTACTTCAACTTCATAGAGATAAAAAGACTATTTTCGAAAGACCCTCCACAAATCAAAAGATTCACAGAAAAAAAAATACGAGAATGAAGAGACATGTCAAATAATAAGGAAAGACAGACTACAGAGCATCTAGGGAAAGGAAACAATAACGACAAAACAATGCAGTATAACTAAAAGAAAATACAGCGTACGGCTAATACCACATACACGATGATCCTAAGCTCCCACCAGACCAAAACCCGCCGAAAAGCAAGTCAGAGCTCAACTACTTGCGAACCATCTATTATAATCCGCGACTCCATCACATCAAATATGAGAAATGATATGACAGTCAACTACAAAGAAGAAATCAAACCTCGGATAGTCAACAAGGGAAAAAGGAGCCAAGTGCAAGATAACCCACAGTACACATATCAACAACTTCAACAAACATTATCTCATCGTGCATTACAAAGCATATTTTTTATAAGAAAACACAGCAGAGAGAACAATACAAGTAATAAACCAAAGAACAAGTACATAGAAGTACACAGGGACCAGAGACCATCTCATTCTTCAGCGGCACTCGCAGCACTTAGATCCACATTGAGGTCCAGAACCTGAAGGAAGACAATTGAGTCAACCTCAGTTAGGTACTCTAGATTCAAAAAATAAATCCTTTACATAGTACACATTACATTCTTTACACCATTCCCCTTTTCAAGGAAGGGTGGGAAGAAAGAGTTGAAGGTGACGATGTATTCTAATTAAAAGTTCTATTCGATGTAAAAGAGGCAAAACCAAATATCAGATGTCTTGAGCAGGTTATTCCAATAAAACCACCTTCAAAAAATAAAACTATCATGCTCACAATAACTTCCAGGATCCTATTATCTTCTAACTATACGGCTGGTACAAATAGCCTCTCTACCTAGACTCACATCTCACCTCATAAACAGAGACATTGAAAAGGGCAAGATTTGATGAGCCATCAGTGATAAGTTATTAAGATTAAAAAACATCCAGGATCAAAGGAATAACTAACTGTACACCATCAGAGTATGTATGCTACTCACAATTGAGATTTGGAGGGAAAGGGAAAAGGAAAGGAAGGGAGAGGAAGCATTCACAATGAATTAGCAATGTCATTATAAACCTTCAATATACTACTCTATCATCAGAATTGAGCCTTGACCTCACTTGATATAGCAGTTTGTCATATCACTGTGAAAGAAATTATGTATCAACGATTCACATAGAGTGTTCAACCAACCGCGTTCCCTCTAACTCTTTCATAAGTTCAATGTCTTCCAGAATATGCAAACATAAACCAAAATGAAAACATACCTTTCCAGTAATCAAGGTATACATATTGAGGACATCATCAACAGTCGACTCAAAGTGAGTTGTAGCATCATAGCTCTGTTCAAGAGAAAAGCTGGCCATGTCATGCTAGGTAGACTTGATAAGATTTCAAAGTGACTCAAAGAGAGACTTACAGTAGAAATAAAACAATTATCTAAAGAGGGCTCATTGACAGGCTCAAATCTGTCATATGCTTCAAAGAAGATCTCATCCACTTGTCCTAGAAGATCAATGCCAGGCTTCAGCTCACTCTCCGGATTATCAGTTTCTGCCTCTGTTGAGACAAATGCAATAAATTTGCCCTTTGGAGCAACATTATGAGTGTAAGAACAACAGAACAGGTACCTGAAGATCCAAACACAAACTAGTAAGAAGAGATACCCTCAAATATCAAAAATATTAGTAGTTCTTTGCAAAACCAAGTCAGCACAACTAACATGTCAAGAACGGAAAGCTTATGTAGGAGCATTTATAAAGTAGAAATAGTATTGATACTAATGGCAATCAGCAATAAGACCGTCTCTCAAATCTACAAACTGTTTAGTACAATGTTCACAATTTTTTGTATTAATTGTTAGTTCAACAGTAAACCAGAACTCCAAGCAATGATTCAGTATCTGTAGAATATATGTTGATACAATAACTAGTTAGCAGCCATGTATTTACAATCCATGTTTCTACTACTCAACAAAGCTGATTACAGTTGGTATAGATCAACAATGCACACAAGCAGATCTTGTTTATAGTCCATGATAGTTCTGGATCCTGAATACAATAAATACTTGAAATCAACTTAATAAAACACTAGTAATATTCCATTTACCAACAAGTATCGGCCACAACCAATCCCCCCCACCCCCATCCCACCCCACCCCCCACCCCAAAGCACCTAACAATGTGAACCCAATAGTAGATAGAATAAATTTTGTAGCTGTATTGAAATTCAAAACCTAAGAAAGCTGAAACCGGGCCATTCCCAGGCAAGTATTCATTGATTAGGATCCACTCATAAATAAATAAACCATGTCAGCCAAAATACCATTTTACCTATAAAGGCAACAGAAAAATCTTATCCGATTTCATAATAATATAAGCAGAAGATGGGATGGGGTTACACAGTCAGATCTATCAAGAAAAGGAATGTGCCAACGAACTCCCACCCTTCTTCTTTTTCTTTTTTGGAAAACTACAGTTGGTTAACCAAATGAATGTGATGGGAACAATCCAACCCCGGGCTTAATAATAAACTAAAGCACACAAAAAAAGACATCAAGTCAAGAGAATCAGCCGTCAAAAGATAATAGGAGCTTTGAGTTTGAGATGCTGAAGAAAACAATATCAGAATGTGAGAGAGCATGAAAAAATAAAAGTTCGCTATGGAAACTTCGAGTGCATCATCATGAGACTGAAAATCTTTCAAATCTCAAAAACTGTAAGTTACATAATATGATATATCAGATAGGGAAGCGAGGAGAGCAAGCCATGGCAAATGTTGCACATATGTATAGAACTTAGATATGAGATCGTTATAGTTAGGATAGAGAAATTTAAAAATGCAACTAGAAGGTAGTCTTTCATCCACTCCCAGGAAAATTTAATAAGAAAAATCCTGGTCTAGTTAATATTTTAAGCCCATCTTTTGTTATTTCATGAGAAATGTTCTTGCAACCAGGGGTAAGGTAAAAAGCGATGACTTTAAAACTGAACAAATTTTTACACCATGCAATAATACACCAGCAAGAAAGAAGGTTCAAACAAGTTTAACAAGATAAATTTAATCTCAGGAGCAGGCTTTGTTTTCAAGTAGTTTCATAAGCATTTCATTCTACCATGAGTTGCAGGAAAAGAATAAAATTTGCAGCATACTGGAGAAGAACTTACAGATCAGATTTACGGCCCAATTGTTTTTGGGGTAAAATAATTTGCACTGAGTGTGAATCATTGGTATTTGGAATTGGGTGGCTCATAATTGCAATAGCTCTTGCAACTTTTCCAACCTTTCTAACCTGCAATAATATGCACTGGGTTTATTAATTAATTAAAACCACTTGAAACAATTATGTGAGAGTTCCAATAGCAGGTAGTTTGACATCTCCTAAGCAACATTGTTGTCCATGACACTGATTTACACGGGAATGGCCTTTCCTTATTTTACAAGTCAAAAAATTTCAAGTAACACCAAACTGGTGTAAAAATTATGTGCAAGATGTGCATACGACTCTACTTGAATTATCTGTTGTCTAAAACCAAGTTTTACCAAACCTCCCGAACCACATGGTATTTTCTCCTTGTAGTAATATGACCAAATGCAAAGTGAAATAAGATGATCTGGTTACATTACATTTAAAAAGTCACTAAAAATATCAGCTAGATCATTTTTTACCTTGTTGTTCAAGTAAGAAGGATCACATACAACTTTCTTGCACTTAGCTGTCTCTCCTTCTGAAGTGACACCACAGACTTTTCCTTCTTCATCAAACTCTACCTGAAATTTGAGGAGACATTGTTTTAAGGAAATAACATGAAATTAAAGATACCTTTTACACTCGGCAAAAACAGAAAATAAATTTTACCTTGCATTCAGGTTTGTTCAGCATATAGGTCCCACCATACACAGCACTAAGTCGAGCAAACGCCTAAGTTAAGCAACAATTACCAAATCAAAATGATTAAATCCAAAAAAAGAAAAGTTAATAAGTTCAAGAACCTTTTATGATGTTGGAGGATGACTAATAACAACAAAAGCAGAGATACAAAATGCAACGAGGAACTCAAGGTGGTACCTGGGGAAGCTCTCCTAATCCATATAAAGGATAGATATATGGTGATCCTCCTTGAAAACGTGCAAGAGACTCAGCATACAACTATCACATACATGGAACAAAAGTTACAGATAAGCACATGGAACTTTAAATACCACTGGCTGGAGAAATTAAAAGCAAAAACAATTTGGTACCTTCATTCTCTTCACTGTATCCAACGCAGGTTTGTCTAAGTAGCGGTCATCTCTGTGTAATGCCAATGCATGACCAATGAAGTCCACAGTATTGTCATCAAGACCATATTTTCTGATAAAAAGAAGAATTATCATAAGCCACAGTTCTATAAATACGTCACAATTTACTAGTATAGGCAATGCAGACCAACACTTTTTGATTCCAACTTCTACCAACTGATAATTTCCAAACATAAAAATCATTGAGAAATCACATAGAAAGATCAAATATTAGAAAAACAACAATTTCTTATCTTCTAATCATCAGATCCTCTCACCACTGTAGAAGCATCTTAAGAAAAATGAACCTCAAACCCAACTCAACCACAAAACTAGCTCATGACGTAAGGATCGCCAAAATCATATCAAAGAAACAACAACCAATTCCTTCAACTAATGTGGGACACTCGTTAAGAAACATAAGGCAAACCACATATTTCATAGGCACATATATTGATTTTACTCAGTAGTTTCTCTTTTTCTATTTTTGATACCAAATTTTTTACTCACTTGTTTCTTCTAAGATAACTCTTAATAAAAGGTAAAGAAAAGACAAAATCTAAGAGAATTTAACAACGATATCTCTAATATGAAAAGCCTCAACTAACAAATAGAAAGAAATAAGAGGACTAGGAAGTTCAAGTCAAGAGCATACGCAATAAGCTCTCTTGCTGTCACTCTTGTTAGATCCATCCCCTCATGTGTCTTTGGGTCACTCTCCTTATAATCCTGAACATAGATGAAGAACTTCCGAGCACGGCGTTTCTCAAAAATGCCCATTAAAGGAGATTTAAGTGCCTCCATATCAGTGGCAGGCACCTTGTGGACCTATTTCATCAAGTAAATGAGAACTTCACCTTAGAGCAAAGAATAATCATGAAACTAAAAGCTCACACCTTGCAACAGCACTGAAAGAAAGCACTGTACCTTTCCTTTATTATACACAAAGCTTCCATCAACAGCTTTGAAGTATAAGTATTTTGTGACATCGGTGTGGATTAGAACTCGTACAAGAGCACCATTAGCCATAATGAACTGCCGCAACCAATAAGTTAGAATACCAGTACATAAATCAAAGGATTTCCATAAAGCAGACGGTCAAAAAAGGAAAAAGTGATAACCTTAGGGATCATGTCAACATTATAGTCCCTGCTAGAACCCAATTGAGCTGGAGGCTTATCACTTCCCCTGAACCTCTTCCAGAGCTGGAAAGCAGAAAACTCAATCAAACAAATGCCAGAAACAGAAAGTAACAATTGTCAACTATTAGAGCAACCTTACCTGGACAAGATTGAGAGACGTTGATTCTCCTCCATAATAGTCATTTCTGTCCATGTGCAGGACCTATTACACAATAAAAGGAGTAATTCGCAGGCAACTCGAGTTAAATGGAATGTGAAGCATATCTCTTGGTAAAGAAATAAATAGAAGACATCAAGAGAATAAGATAAATTTCTCTAATAGAGTTTATCACCCATTATTTCTTTACACTAATATTCAAGCGTACAAATTATTTGGAATTTTGGGCTAGCATTATCCTTTATGTATGGGAGTTGGTTCATTTTGGTCCTTCAAGTATTATCTGAGTATAAACAATCTCTGGTATAGATATTGATATTGACCGCCTCTATGGAAGGTGGTTGGGGATCTAGAGAAGGAAGGTCGGGCAGCTATTTCAATTCGGCGAAATGGAATCGGCATGTACCAATTTGGGTCAGATTAAGAGCCTGTTTGGCTCAGCTTAAAAGCTGGTCAAACTGACTTAAAAGCTGATTTTTGACTTATTTAGCTGTTTGGCAATACTCAAAATAACTTATTTTAAGTTAAAAAAAACTTATTTTAAGCCAAAAGTTAAAAGCTGGGTAGGGGTGCTTTTTTATTTTTAGCTTATAAGTTGTTTTAAGTTGACCACATTTTTATCTTTTTGCCTTTAATATTTTTATGCAATCTCCAAATTACCCACATAACCCTAACATCTCTTTCTTCCATTTTTCCCTTTCACGTTTGGCATAGCAACTTCAGCACTTTTATCCAAACACATAACTGCTTATTTTAAAAATAAGTTTCAGCACTTTCAAAAGTACTTTTTTAAAGCTACTTTTATTAAGCCCATCCAAACGGGCCCTAAGAACTTCCATCAAAATACTTAATAGCATAGAGATACATTAAAAAAACTTCTTTCCTAAGCACATGCAGTCGAAATCAAAGAGCGGACTTGAAATCATAGATCCATTTTTTGATCCACGCGACTCAGAGAAGAACCCTATGTATTACCCGCCCAGTGCTGTTCTGATGAAATTTAAAAGATTTTTAATCCCTTAATTTTCCTAAAGTGAAGCACTTTTGGTCTCCCTAACATGACAATGCTAAAATCTAACGGCAAGAACAATCTTTTGAACATATTCAAACTGACAGTGTTATCTCATTCTCGATTGATGCACATTTAATTTCTTCTTGCCTTCCTCATTCTTATGCATAATTCAGTAGTAGCTATTTATATCAGAAGATAATACTTCAAAACGCAACAATCTGTCCCACTCGAAAAATCGTAACTATTTTCCCTTAAAGGTAGTAAAATCGCTTGTGACAACACAACCTTATGTGTCCTATATTTTACAAGTCACATTCGTTTAAAACCGTTACTTTTAAACAGATTCTGTCAATGAAATCAAAAGTCAATTTAGCAAAGTTAAGGGATTAAAACTTCTCATGTTAAATATCAATATGAATCTACTCCCTTAGACAAGAGATAATTCCAGCCCAAAACTCAAATTATTTGCTCTTCTTCTTCTTTATTACACGTACCTCACACACAAACAATTAATACAAATTCCCCAACATTTCTCAAAAGAGAATACACATCAAGTTTTAAACGAACTTGTACCTTGCATAAACTTACTTAAATATGGATTTCAAGTAAGAACATATGAAGCAACTTACTGGATCAACGTATAACAAGTAATGAAGCAAACTACTGGATCAATCAACAAATTAACACAAAATCGCAGCAGATAAACAGTAACGAAAGCAAGTAACCGATCTCGAAGATATCAAAAAGTCATATCTAAAGCTAACTCAAGCAAAAATAGTTAAAAGTGAAGAGAAAAACCTTGAGACCATCAACAGAGAGAAGACCACTGAGGATACATTCCTTGAGACCAGTACCAAGCACAATCACATCATACTCTTCATCCATCTTTCTGTTACAGCAAAACTAGGGTTTACAAATTCTAGTGTTATAAAATGGTAGAGCTCTCCAGGAGAAGAAGACAAGTATTGTTTTGATGATTGATGAAACGCTAGCAAAAGGGCTATGTCAACTTCTTTTATTTATTTAGTCAAAAAATGTATTTTTTGAAAATAATTATATTTATGTTTATTTACTGAAAATAATTTTTTGGTTTTTATAATTCAACTATATAAATAATATAATTCTTTATTTATTTGAGTTAAAGTGCTAATAATTCAAAAGAATATTCTTCAGCAAGACATATAGGATTGTGATTGAAGCAACTAAGATGCTCTTGTCCATTATTATTATTTTTATTTAAAGAAAAACACACACACACAAAGAAACATTCCCATTAATATAAACCAAAGTGAAAAAGAAAAGAATGTTATTTTTGGTGTAAAGATTATTATTATTATTATTATTATGTAGTGTGGATGATCATAACTCTTAGGTATTATTTTCTGTTTGGAAAAGGACCTAAAATATCCTAGACAACAATATTTAAGTTCTATTTTGTCATTATCTCTAACGGTCTAAATAATAACATCAATTAGCAAACTCATTTATGTCGTGTCGCTATCCTATCTAAGGGAATTTTAGGCCCAAAAGATATAAGATGAATATTTTTATTCCAATTCACATAATTAAAGGGTATTTTAGGCCCTTTTTCGTTTTTAATTTTACGATATCAAAACTAATTTTTTTATTGTTATTTTACAATTTCCTATTTTCTCATGTTCTTAAAGGTCAATGTCACGTTTATGACATCTTTTGACTTATTTAATGTATCCCTGTGAATAGAGATTTTAAGGATTATATTGTATGGGATACACTTGAAACAAGAAAACTCTCTCTTGTTCTATACATTTATTATTCTTGTTTATATTGTTATTTATATCTTAATTTACAAGACGTTATTATCACGAAACTCTAATTGATTCTATTGTTCTTTATAAGTGGAGTTTGATTGTCACACCCAAATCAAGGAAGACACGCCCAATACCTAAAGCCCTAAAAAATCGAGTAATTGATATTGAGTATTTTTAATAAATCCACCGAATGTCTAAGACTGACGAGGTCTCTAAGTATAGCAATCAGAATTACTAACAACACATAACAAAGTAAATAACTCAAGGACTATAAGGCCAAGTTCATAAAGTATTTATCAAATTAGAAGGTTGACTAAGCGAAACTCAAAAATAGTAAATATAAAGCAAAGCTGACAAGAAAAAAAATCAAAATAGTTAGCTAATAACAATGTCGACAAAGTCTTACCCAACACAATTATATATCACATGTATACAAGCCTTTATAAGTACACAAAATATCTTTTATTCGAGACAAGGCCCCAACCTATGCATCAACTGTAACCTGACTTAAAATATTTATCTCAATGAATTCAAAAATAATGAAGTTAAGCAATCAAAATCTTAAAGCAACAGCTCCTACAAAAGAGGACGATTGAATTCTCTATTTGAACCTACAACATGAAATGCAACACTCAAGGTAATATGAGCGTCGATTTGAATGAAATATATGTGGTATGTAAGACACAGAAACAACCATATACTTTTTTGAGCTAAAAGATTAGGGAAAATCAACTTAAATCCTAAATGTCACATCAGATCAATAACCTAAAACTTATATTCTACTGAGGGTCTTGTCATGCAAAGCCTACACCCTGAACCTAACCGATATTCGAGAATCATTGATGACCCCTTATTGAATCTTTGTCCTGATTAACTATTAAGCAAAAGACAAACTTAAGCATACACAAGTATCAAAACTGAAGAATTTTTTTAAATTGTTTATAAAACTCAAAGCTATTTGTAAAGGGAAAATTGTATATAATAGTAAACTAATAACCTAAAATAAATGGAGTAGCTAGGGTTTGATTTAATTGTGCTCCATAGCAAACGTTAGCTAAAGTTTGTCAGGCGTCTCTCTCCCAAAAATCTCGCTCGCCACTCTCCATTCTCGCTCGTCTCTCTCGCTTTATACACAGAAGTATATAAATTTTGTTTCTGTTTTGTATAAAGCGAGAGAAAATTGTATATACACATGCAAAAATATATATATTCGTGTTATACACTTAATTATACAATTTACAAACATTTTACTTCAAATATTGCAGAGAAAAAGGCCAACGAATTATACAATTGCGAATTATACAATTGTAGTAAAATACAATTTTCTCTATCTTTATACAACAGAAGTGTATATATTGTGTTTCTGTTTTTGTATAAAGAGAGAGAAAAACATATATCTTCTTGCTATACACTTATAATAATGCAATATACCTACATTTTAATTCGATTCAACTGTATGCAAAACAAATTTTATAAAAATATTGCAGCGAAATAGGCAGCGAATTATACAATTGTGCATTATACAATCGCAGTGAAATAGGATAGCGAATTATACAATTACAGCGAAGAAGGCTAGCGAATTATAGAATTTAGGCTAGCGAATTATACAATTATATATGTATAGCGAATTATATAGTTTTATGTTTGCTATGGAGCGTAATTATGCAAACTTTGTTAAGCATACAAATATAATTTTTTTGTTTGCTATATGTGAAAGTTGTCCATTTGTAAATATTGTATTTTAAATAAGGCTTAAGTCATATGCGGCCCCTTAAAGTTGTCCGCATATTTCATTTAGACACCTTAACTAAGGCTAGTACTTATTGAACACTTAATCTTAACAAATCTATACATATTTAACACAAAATGATAATTAATAAAAGTACAAACATGCGTGCATCTCAAATGCATATACATGAAAAATAGATCAATACAATATTAACACGTGGCAATTTAATCAAAAAAATTATAAACTCTATTCAAATAATTCCAAAAGAATTTTTAGAAAACAAAATATTATGTTAAAGTTGACCCACCCCACCCCACCCCACCCCACTCCAGCCTCCACCCTCCTTCTTTCTTCTTTTTTTTTTCCGACGAACGTATTTTCTTTGTTACTATGCCTCAACCACCAGTAAACATTTCCTCAACCCTTCTTCTTCTCCGTCGGATCTTGCTTTCCTTTCTATTGGGTTGCTGCACTTCAACCACAAGTAAATCATTCCCATTCTCGAATTTTATCCCTTTCATCAGTATCGATATTATATCATTGATATTTATCTACGTTAATCACTCATTCACCTATCATTCTAATAGCGTTAATTAAGATTTAAAACCTTTGGCCTATTGTCTAATCATCATTTATTACACTTACAAGAGAAAAAAAATCAGCCTCGCTGAAATATTTTTTCAACGAAAATAATAAAATTTCGTCGGATTATTTGAAAAAAACAAGAAATCAATATCATCAAAGAATTGAAGAACTGGAGAGGTTAAGAGAGAAAGGTGGAGGGGGTGGATGTGGGTAAAGAATGAATAGTTGCAGTGAAGATGGGGAAGAAGACAGAAATGTTCCTTTGTTTTTTATTTAATTAATTATTATTAGTATTTATTAATTAGGGTGTAAGTTGAAAAGAAAAAGAAAAAATATATTTTTAAATTCCTTCACGCGCTTTAAGAGTGTGAAATACACTCTTTTTGACATGTCAGATCAGTTGAGGTATCTAAATGAAATATGCAGACAACTTTAAAGGGTCGTAGATGACTTTAGCCTTTAAATAAACATCCAAAACTGAATACTGAAAGATTGGCCCAGGTTGTCTATTTTATAAGGTCTCTGCTATATAAGATAGGTGTAGGAAAAATATCCATGACACCTCAAAACACTACTACCAACAAATCATAAAACTAAAGTTCTCCAGAAACAAGGATATATCATCAAAAGCTAACAAAAAGATGATATGATCGCAATGAAACACCTCTTGATAATCCTAAGTATATGAATATGTATCATAAAATGATACATATCGAATGACATCAGTATATTAAATATATGAGGATGTAATATGACTAAATAAAACAAATAGTTGAATTGAAATACTAAAAGTCGCTCAATTGAAGTATGTAATATAAATCATGATGAAAATGATTTAAACATTTTATAGGGATGCAATAATACTCCCTTCGTCTTATTTTATGTGGCACAATTTTCTTTTTCGTCAGTAAAAAAAAAGAATATCATATTTCATTTTTATATAAATATTTAAAGGTACAATTCCTCTTTACCCTTGTTGATCTCACTTAATTTTAAAATAGTATTCTTATTTCATTTTTTTTTTATAAAAGGTCATCAATAATTAATTGTACTTGCCCTTTCTCTTTTCTATAAAAAGAATTGCAGCTTTTTGTTGTATATGACTGGAATATCAATCTTTACTCTATTTTTTTCCTAAGCATTTTGTACTTTTTCAATTTGTAAAAAAAAAATTGTCCACAATTATTCTTCGTGCTTTCCAACTTTCACCAAGATTTTTTTTTTTTTTTTGCATATTTACATTACAATGCTTTTTTATTTTTACACTAAAATTTTTGGGACTTTCACTTAGTAAGGTAATAATTTTAATGAAAAATATTTTAACATGAATTTGATAATAATCGTTTAAAGAAAATCAAAAACTTCAAATTCAAACTAGATACTGAACAATTCAATAATAATCGTTTCGTAACATTGCTCTCAACTTACAATTTCTAATTCAATATCAATGGAATTTATTTTTAAGATAAAATTAGCGATAAGACACCCAGAAAATATGGTGACAATACTAAAAATAATTCATGATACTTTGGGTCCAACGTAATTTTTACTAAACTTCTTTAACTAATAGACATAAGTACAAAAATTACATATGGTCACCATGATTATAGTAATACTCTAATATACTCCTACTTGACAAAAAATCATTTCAACTTTCACATATTAAAGGAATACAAAAGTTACATGATGAACATCTTGAATGTACACAATACTAGTACTGCAAAATTATGATAAATACATTTCAAAAAAGAAAATTTTGCCATACTAATAACCCTTACTGTTGAAGTAGAGTTGAAACATGAGTTGACAATACCAATATCACAACAAAGTTAAAAAAGAGGAAGATTGTATTCTCTTTCTAATCCATTTTGTTCAAATGAGGCACTTTGTAGTTGTTGCT